GAAAGTGGGTCAAGAGATCTACGCTACAAGGAATACTGGTACTATGTTGTTTGCTCACAACCAGGGAAATTCATTCTTGTGCACTTGAATAGTGCCTAGCTTTGTGCTGGCCAGCTGTACAGAGGTTAATTTTATCTAATGAATATATCAAAAAAATTAAGGAGACACTACTAACTTCTATTCAAAATCTAATCTTGTTTATGTAATACCCTTCAGGGAGGCTGAATCAAATTTGCTTTTCCTACAAAAAAGATAAAATTTGAAGACTAAATAATTTCCACACTTTGTTTTATCATAAATGAAAATGAAATTATATTCAAACTGCACAGATGGTTTTGATGGATAAACAAAATAGTATAAAAGCTCATTGAGCATTTACTTATTAAAGTAATGGTCTCAGTCCTCAGCTGAAGCAAATGTACATTTGGCACAGCTATGGCCATGGGTTTTTCAAGCTCTCTAAACCAACTGGTAATAGACAAGATGATGGAAACTGCCACTGGGGTTTAGTGGACTTTAGAGGTGACTGTACCTCCTTCTGCAAGGTACGCTCTGACCTCAGCAGCATAGTTGGAAGTGGCATAATACCTCTAATTTGAACTGTGTCAACTGACAAACATATTGGCTCTATAGTCCAAATGAACTAGAGGTGTAACATGAAACAGCTCCACTGCAACAGCCCTGTTATTTCAGAAACTCCCTTACTAAAGTTAAGGAAACGAATTTAAATGGGAGGAAGGGAAATGATGAGAATACAGGATTAATGAGACTTACTAATTGCACAGTTTAGAAGTTGTGTGTTTCTTAAGGGTAGTCTTTAATTGAGAGACATATTAACTGGGAATTGCTAATATTAGATGGACTTGTGGCATACTGCAATGCTTTTGAGTTTGTTTGCTTTTTTCTTGTGATGAAGCGTATGTGCGGCATTAACTTCTTAAGCTGGTCTTTCACAGATAATGTTATGAGTTGTAGGAAGTGCTTTGCAGCTTTGGTGTGCTCCCTTGCATGCGACTGTGAACATTCCAGATTAAACATCTATTACATAGTTGTTTATGTGTGCAGAGACCTGAGCTCATCAGGCTCATTAGCTGCTTCCAGTCCTTCGCTCTTAGGTGAAATGGGAATGAGCAGTAATCACTATGTGTGCTTTTATCCAGAAGAAATAAACAAGACTTAGCTGGATTTTTTAAACAGAAGGCATAGTACATCGGCAGCGACAATTACATCCGCTCAAGTAAATTTGTGTAAAACACGTAACAAACTGCCTTGGGAATATTCCTTACGTGGAGCCAAATGAAAGCTGAGATGACCAGACGACACTGGTCAGAGGAGAGGAAATCATGTTCACAGCCGCTGAGGCTTTACATGCGAGATGCTGGGAAGGAGCAATACAGGAGAATATGTAAAGATACGTGTCAGCATCCCACGTACAGAATTACTTGCTCCATATGTCAGCATAACTAGAGCATCAGCAAATTATGTTTAGGCACCTGCCTCTATGCAACAGCGTGCCCATAATGACTTAGGGCTAATAGATCTTATGAAAAACCTTCAACCAGATGCAACACAAGCAGAATGCTGCCAAAATTCGTTGAAGAATCAACAGTTTCTGTACCACCCAAAAGGTACAATAGGATTCACAATCTTCATAACGGAGTGTATTCAACTCTGGTGTAATGTCAGTAATTCACACAGAAACATATCTATGACTGACTAGGCTAGAAATTGTTTCAAAGGAGTTCTGGAAAAAAAAAAAAAAAAAAACTCCTTTAATTAAAAAAAGAGTGTCTGTCCTGGAAAGCATTATACATACTTTCCTGGGTATCCAGATATCCAGACCCTTAGAAACAAAATTACTATTTTTTAAAGTGTAACTTTATAATTTTCAGGTACTAATACAAACATGTATTAATAATAAAGTAGATCGTGCTTTTAGACACATTTTACAATATACCTCAGCATCCACCAGTAAGGCTTTTTTCAAGGTATCATCATATGTGCTTAAATACGAGCTCAGGTTTGGTATATTATCATCTGTTTAGTTATCTGAATTAGCTGTAAGAAAACAATTGCATTCTACTTCTAAAACTCAGTAGCTGAGCCTAAACACTGTCAGTGATACAAGTTAATGTGTCAGGGCTAGAATAAAACATTTGTAGCACTTGGAAATATGAGTTACTTTTCTTAATATTGTTGCTTCTAGGCAATTTCTGTTTTCCAACTCTTATTTGTTCCTGGCCTTCCCACTTATGGAACAACTATGTCAAATATAGAAATCACATCAAAGACTATTTTTGGAAAAATAATTGATGTGCAGGTGCACGGTGGTAATGCAGCTTTCCTTGCAGCGGTCTGTGTTTTCAAAGCGCGTGTAGCGTAATCACGCTGCCCTGGAATTGTTTAGGTAACAGGTTCAGCCCCAGCATGACTTGATACAGCTTTCTAAAGCCAGATTAATAAGATTTGAGTTTCTGTTGAAGTAAGGGGCTGCATTTTCCCTTGTGCTTGCCAGGATGCCGCTCTCCTTTCTCCTCTTCCTGCATGGGTGATGGCAGGTTTGCATATCAAACAGATAATACAGCTGTGAACTTGTCTCCAGATTAGAGCTGTTCATGGGTTTATGCAGGCTGTTGATTTTGAGACCTGTGTCTCACTGCAGAGACAACCTGCCGAGCCAAGGCTGTGTTTGGGCTGGCCCAGCTTGCACGTCCTCAGGGAGGCTTGCTGGGCTCTGTAACAGGGGTCACGTTCATCTTCCTCTGTGGATAAGACACAACTCCGTGGACTTGAGCGATCTTGGCCCACCCTACGTCATGTCTGAACAGGGCCCAGTGGCTGAACAATCCCACGGCTGCTGGCTAATGACCTGTAACTGGCACATCACCAAAAGCATCCTCCCTAGTAGCCAGCTTTTCTCAAGAGATATTGGTCACTGGCAGCGTCGAGAGTCAGGGCAAGCAACTAACACAGTATGAAAGGATGTGGAGAAAAAAAAGGCCTCTGCAGACCTTCCTGAACCGTACTCCTCTGAAACTGTATTTATCTTTCTTATTTATTCATTGAAGATACTTTTTTTTTCTTTCTTATTGATTTAAATGTTCATTCACAGGAAGTTCTTTCAAACACAGACCCAAAGGGTTTTTTTCAAGAATTTGACCCCTTAAATGGTTAGCCTTAACTAAATATAATCATGAAGGAAAACAGCCCTTGAACCGCCGGTCGGTTGTAAGTCTAGGACTGAGCTGCCAGTGCTAACGTTGCCTCTCTATTTGTTTCTACCAGTCATCTGACACTGAAGGGACAGACAGGCTCTTTTAGAGATCCTTGGCAGAATGACGACAGCACTACGTTGTATTTACAAGTAAAGCTTTATTTTCTTAACAGGATTTTATAATTAGTATAGCACAGAATTTATGATTAGAATGGCACAGGATTTCCCCAAGCAGAATCAACGTAGTACAATTTATAGGTAGCATAATACAGAATTTTATAACACAACTTAACTTATGGTTTCTAATCACCTGGACCCTCTGCAGATTGTGTTGGATCTTAATACATGGTTTGCTGTATCAACATAACAATCATAATCTAGACTCGAAAATCTTATAAAAGAATACGAGTCACTCCCTCAGTCCTTGGAGGAAGCAGACGATGGTGGAGGCGTCCCTGGCCACCGGGGTGTCACGATCTCACTGTCCAGCAGCAGTTCTGGTCCAAGTTCCCCCTTAGGACTTGTAACTGCTTGGTTTTATGGACAGTGCTCTGGGTGCTGGTACACTTCCCTGTTCTGTGGCGGGGTCATCAGCAGCACCGGGTTGGCCGGGTGCCTGGGGCCTTCAAGGCTGGCAAGGAAGGCAGTTAATGGCCTGGTGCCCAGGAACCTTGAGGCCAGCAGGGAGGGGAAGAAGAAATGTGTTTGGTTCGTCTACTTGGTGCACAAGACCTTCAGGGCCTGGTAACGAGGGGAAAGGGAACGAATACGTGACCTGCTCGGTCACAGAGAATGGCCGCGTGCCTTACAAAATGGCGTTAGTTATGCTAACCACACTACTAGGGGTCGGGAGCAGGGGGTACTGCTCACACATGCATATAACATAAGCTTCAGTTAAGCTGCACCCATTGAAAATGTAGATACTTAAGTCCTTGCATAATTCATCCTCCCATATACTCTCTACCTCTGATTTGTTAGTTTACAGGTTATTAACTTCTACTACTCACCCATGCATAAAAGGTATGCTGATGATGATTTGGACTTGGAGGTTTTATTTTTTTTTTAACTTGAGTAAAATGTGTGAAAAGTGGTACTAAGTTTACTAAACCCAATTGTGTGTTTTAGGTGTGTATTTTTCCTTTACAATTCAACATGATAATTTTGCAAATAAGTAGTTATAATCTTAGGACTTAAGGAGGTATATAATAAATAAAATTACTGTTCTAAAGGTTATTTGTATTTTGCAAAGATGTTTCCTAAAATACTATAGTGAGTCCTGTACATCAGAAACATGAGAAATTGTCTGCAAAGACAATGTGCGTAAGCTCTAGTTATGTGATTATTTTACAAGACTAAAAATGTATAAAGTAATGAGCACTGCAGGAGTTACAGTAATGCTTAAGATATGACTGGATTTCATTTGGCTCTAGAAGATGAAGTTGGAACCACATCCACAACTGTATACCCAATCGGGAATAATAAAAAAAGAGTCGTACAAATGGTTGATTGATGCACAAACCGGAACATTTATATTATCAGTATTCAAAAAGTATCTAAATAGCCATTTAGAGGATAATCAAGGATACACTACTACTGAAAAGCATTAATAGAATAGACGGAGGCCGGCCCCGGCACAAGTTCTGCCGTGCCTGCCGGCTTCTTCCCCTCGCCCACCGTCCTCAGGAACGGGCCTTTCTTTCCCGAGACGACAGTTAAACGGGGTTTTTGTTCTGTTTCCTTAGTGATTTTGAGAGCCAAGGGGAGCCGCGCTGCTCCGTCAGTGTACAGGGCAGTCTCGCCGGATACGTTGCTGAGGCATGAAGTCTCACCTATTTTGTCAAAACAACTGTTAAATGGGTTATTTCTGATTCGAAAGTTCACACTGCAAAACCGATGGTAAATTCATCACCTGAGTCTCGATTTTGCCTAGTTGTTTTTTTTTTTTTTCCTTAATTTTTAAGGAAAGTTGCAGTTTATCTGTCTGAACCCCTCTTATTATGACTGTAAATGCAAGGCTTTGACATTAAATATTCGGTCACAGTGGGGTTTACTAAGGCTGCACCCTACAAAGACTGCTCTGGCTCATGCAGAGACGGGAATTGGTATGTGTGCCAGATCAGGATGTTAAATAGTCCGGTTCCATACAACCAACTTTGTATTATGACTTATCTAATTTCAGTTAGTGAAAGACTAACAGTAAGATGGGCACACTTTCTAATACCCAATTAGCTTTGAAAGATTGGACTTGAAGACTAGAAAAGGAAAATCGATACAGATTTATCACTCTGTTTATGCTAGATAAAGGCACTTTTGCGTTCTTAGGTTCCAAATGGGGAGCAGTTCTCAAGTACTGCCACAAGCAAGAAATTGATTATATGATTCTAAGGTCCTGTTTCCTGTCACTATGCAGGGCGTGTAAATCATGAACTTGTGTGTTATTTTTAAGCTAGAAAGTTTTAATGCCATCTTATTGAGTGGCTTGGTGACTGCCTTCTGCTTTGGGTCCCTTTCGTGGCCTGTGTTATGGTTACTGGCTTTGCTGGACAGGAATTTTATAAATGTTCTCTGTGTGGATGGTGTTTTGTGCTGGTTTTTATTGACAAAGTATTCTGAGGTATGGGGAAACTAGCATTACTTAGGTTAATATTTTTTCAGTCTGTGTATTATTTTTGTTAGCTAAAAGTGTAATTTATTTGTCTAGAGGCTTTTGAGAAAACTGTTGTGTCTAATAAAACACAATTTTACTTTTCCAGAATTTGTAATTTGTAGAAGCTTCGCTACTGGCTTATTGCTGCTGTTTGACAGCTTTACTGAGAGAACTGTGTGGTAATATTGAATAGCATTTCAGGTGACTATTGCTTAAAGATAAATCATCACAAAAGTTACCTGAACAAGCTTCTTCCTCATGTTTGTAGACTGGGAAACAGTGGGGGGGAAAGTCTTTACTAGGCAATGAACAACTGTGTGGAGACCCCAGCAGAGCTGGTGCAGGCCTGCATGTTCACATGGTGAATGCTGTATCATGTGGCTATGTCCCCTTGGACCTGGAAGTGGCCTAATGATGCCAGCATGGTTATGCAGATAACTGCATGTGGAGCAAGCTCAGTGTCTGTATGCCACTGTCCGTAGTGCTTCTATCTGTGAGATTAGCTTGCATGTTCTTTTTCTCCATTTCTCTGCTTCTGCAGTTTAAGTGAGTCTGAGAGAGCTGAGAACAAGAGACTAAAATGTAGTGTGTGTTGTCCTGTGTGAGCAATTTCTTTACTGCTTAGTGTGGCTCTTCTGTTTGTTCACTTGATTTATGGAAATCCATGGATGCTGCTTTTGATTTTGTTCCAAGCTTGTTGCATCCAAGTTACAGAGTAGGTTGCTGAAATTCTGACTGGATATTAGTTCAGTTACAATGACACTAACACAGGTCAAATTATATACAGTCAAAGTTAACATACACAAAATTTCTAATGTTTCTACTTTGTTTCTAATAGCACCCTTTCCCTGATGTTATACTCACCTTTTTGCTCGCCCTCTGGGTCCTAAGGCCACTGGCTCAATTTGGTAGTGGGGAGGGGACGAATTCAAGCAAGTCATGGGCATCCCAAATCCTTTGTTCAGAGGAGTATGATTTTGACTGTTTTGTGCTTCTCAAAGTCTGCATATAGAAACGCATATAAAAAATCCACATCTTAGTTTTTCTTCATTGTTGTGCACTCCACATTTTATTGGCATTTACTGCATGTGGCATGTTTTGCATGTGTTGAATAGTTTTTCTTTGTTATCTTAAAACTGGTTTTAACCATCTCTCAGGATTGCATTCCTTTGACCAATATTGATGAGTTGTTTATAGCATCGGGGCATTTCAGCATCTTCCTGTGCCTGTGTTCTCAAGGGCTCTGCTATCATCCCATGCTCCTGCCCTTATCAGATTTTATGCTGCTTTTTTGATTCTGTCAGAGAGAGCTCATTTTTGTTGGTAACAAAAATCAGTACAATAGTGTTATACCACATGATTGTACAAAGCTGAGTAAAAATTACAACAAAGCAGGTAATTGTCACCTAGTCATAATAGCATTTACAGTTAAACAAGTAAAAAAAACTCTAGGCTGGCCAAGACAAGTCCATATTACTGAGAGCTATTTTGTGAGCCTAATACAAATCCTCTGGCCTCTTAAAAACAATGCTTAATAAGTTACAGTATATTTCAGGGGTCAGTATGTACAGGTGGGCATTCCTCTGAGCTGAAACAATTGCCACTTGTGACAGAAGACTAGGTGTTGGTTCATGATGGCTTAAGCTAATCTAAATCTGAGGGGCTGTCTTACAGCCTCCTCCTTTGTGCCCTGCACAAGGAATTAGGTGGCCACCCATCTGTATATTTCAGGGAGCTGATCCACTGAAAAATAACTGGGACTGAAAAAAAAAAAAAGTTATTTTGAAGGATGAGGCCTGCCTGGACCAGCTCACCACACAACTGTACGCATTGCAGGGCTAGTACAAAGAAAGGGATGAAAACATTTGGGGAAATGATACAAATGCAGCCGACAGGATTCAGATTTGCTTTTGGAGAATGGCTGTGTGAATAAGCAAGTAAACTTAGCTTGTGTTTGTTGTGTGGTAACAATATGCACATCTACAGTTACTCTGCAGCATCTGGCTTGCTGTAAGTGAAGGTAACTTAACATTCCCTTTCTCTTTTTTTTTTTTATCTTACACTCCCTGCGGGGGAGATGATACAGCAGCAGCTTCCACTTCTGTGATGGTTGCACACAGATAGAAGAAGAGGTATGGCTCTGTCCCACTCCACCCTTCCTTCTCCAACTAGAAGCCTAGTTAGGTACCCTCTACTACAGTGGGCGGGCATGTGACTTGAGTCAACTTAGGAAAATTAACATTGTCCTCTTATTTTGGACTAGAACAACCATATAGGTATTTACTCCTAGTGTGTGAGAAGACTCACATAGAGGCTTATTAAACATGCCATAAAGTGACTGACTTAACACTTAAATTTTCCTTATTTTTTTCTGTGTTTTCAGTTTAGAAATGTACATTCAATTTACCCTGTAATACTCATTTTCAAGTACATTCAATGCTCAGGCTATGAGTATATCAAAAAAGATAAGGGTCAAGAGCCATTAGGGCGTATTGAACTTTTTCAACATTTCATTTGTCTTTTTTTTAATCATCTGCTGTAGCGCATTCTTTTCTCTCATTAGTTACCTAGCTCATCACTTTTTTTTTTCCAAACTAAGAACAAAGCAACTGTTCTACTTTGGGATTTTTTTTTTTAGCTGTATATCATAAATTCTTTATGTGGCCCTCTCAAGAGACTATATATTGTAGGTTGTGGGTACTTGCCTTCATATTTCTTACATTGCTATGTATCAGTGAAAGAAATTTAAACTAGGAATGGGGAGAACATTTTGCTTTTTTTTTGACAAATCTGATAGCCAGGCTCTTGGTGATTGCATACTTTCATTAGCTTGTCATTCAAAAAAAGTAGATTTGATGAGCATGAATAATAATGTTTGCTGTATTTGTGGCTTATGTCCTAACAAGCAATACTTCTGGTTTAATCACTTCGAAATAGTCTTACTCTCAGTAAATCCAAACTCCAACAACCTGCTGGATAATGAGGGAATTGATTAGAAAAAAAAAACCTTTTAAAAAATCTTATTCTCATTTCAGATTGGCAATGATTTTTAAAAACTACTGCAAACAAAGTAAGTTGGGTCATGTGAAAATAGCACTGACATTTGCCCATAGTTTCCATCTGATTAAGTGGAAGTGACACCAGTAGATTAGAATGAGACTAAGACAATTCACATCGCAATTGTGTTAGTTTAACTTTAACAATCTTTTAACACTCTTGTTTAAATGTGGCTGACATACCATAATTACAAATCTACAAGCCTTGATTATAGAATTTTACATCATGAACCTATGGGGAAAGTGTATTGATTTTTGTGAAGCAGCTCTTTTTTAAAACCACCTTTCTAAAACTGTGGAATCTTCCTAAGATTGTTCTTTTGCCTGTTGCACTGGTGTTGATACTGTTTTTTTCTCTTTGTAAAATATCATATTGCCAAGCAATTTACACCATGATTATTTTTTTCCTCAAGCGCAGAAAGTTCTGCAAGTTACACAAAACTGTTGGTCTATTTTTACATATAAATTTAAACAATTCTTTTAAATGGAATTATTTTACTAGTGAGTTCAAGATACATTTTGTGCAAGTGAAGTATGAAGTATTGCAGTGAATGCAGACATTCCTTTTGCTGTATGGTGACTCTATTGCTAATTCAAGCACAAAACTAGTTAATTTGCTTGGTTACTCAAGAAATTTGCCATTTCTGGTGTAAATCACAAATATTCTCAATCTTCTGTCCACCGTATGAATTATGGTTGCTTTCTTGTTTGTTTCCCATTAGCCATAGTCACTAACTGATTCTTAGCATCAATATATTGATAAGAAACTCATGTCTCCTTTCTTTATTCTCATTGTAATTAGAAGATAGTATGCAACAACTGCTTGTTAGCTTAATTAATGGGAAGGGCTGGAATATCTTATACTATACAGGTATTGAGGAATGATCTGCAGAGCTGCTCAGCTATACTGAGTCAGCATGATAAAGCAATTTAATGTGTTTACACTGTACACCCAAGAGCTCAGGGATTCAGGAGGGTGAATATATTGCATGCACTATTGGATACAAGCTGACTCTATCCAAATGAAATAACTCTTCTCAGGGTGCAGGTGCATTGTGCAACTGTTGTCTAGGGCTGTCACCAGCTCGGACCTGGAGTCTTAAACATGGGTTCAGTGCTTGCCAAATGTGGTTGTTGTGGTCCACAGCTACTTAGATATGTCTTAAGTACCTTCTGTAGTGCTCCTGGCATCA